AGCCTGTTGTTATCACCAGCTTTCATCAGACCGTAAAAATAAAACTATTCACGATATCACGCACAGGCTGTCCAATTATACAGAGGTCCGCTGGTTTAACCGCGGAGCAGCGCTAAAATGCTGTCTCGAATTGCGCACGGAGATGGCACAGATTCAAGACGCAAAAAAGTCAGTGACAGAGTTAAATCACGACATTACGGACACGTAGAATAACGGGCTGCCAGACTCATATGAAATGTCGTTTAACTGAGTTAGTTGATGAACGTGCACTCCACACGGAGCTGATCAGACTGCAGTGCGTAACGCTTAAGGATCAATTCAAGTCTTTTGGTTTGGAAACATGTTATCATTTTATAATGCCTAATAATAAAATACCTGAAGATGACTTCGGTCTTTGCATCAAATACTCTGTGTGTTTGTGACAACTTGTTCATGTGAGCAGGTTTTATCTGTAATGAACCTTAACGAGTGCAAACTGTGCTGTGGCCTGACACACACACATCTAAAGTCTCTCTTTCTCTCTCTCTCTCTCTCTCTCTCTCTCTAATGCACTGATCCCAGGGCAGGTAGAATAACCTGAGTCAAAGTTTCTATAACCTTTAAACAGCAATATTTAAATATAATATAATAATCTCAAACAAAACATAATTATTTATATTTTCTTCTGTAATGTGATACGTTTAAATATTTCCATGTGCCAACATCCAGTTTGCAATGACAGTTAACCCCTCTGATTAATGTTAATGTTAAAGTTTTCTACACAAGCATACATTTGCCTATATATCCATGTGTTGAGTTATAGTGATGTTGGCAAAATTAGTCCGGCCCACTTGAGGGCTCATTTGAACAAATCCGGCCCCCGACCCAATAGAACTCTGACATCCCTGCTCTAGTTAATGGGTGTATTCTTTTTTTGAATTTATATGCAGTCAGTAATTGTTTGCATTTGCCAATATGCAACACAGAAGTTTTATATTGCATATTTATATGGTGTACATCTACATCAAAATACACGCTACTAAATTTTGATGAATGACGTCTATAAAAAACAAACAAATTGTTGAAAAAAATTCTGTGTCGTTTTAAATACAGAAAAAAGAATCAACATCAAAATCAATAAGCAAAATGTACAGTACACAGATTCCCACTTTTAGGTCGTGTACAAATAGCAACAAGTTATAGTACATTTGTAAAAGGTCAACTAGACTTTTTCCCTTACATCACTCAATGCGACACATCATATTTGATGGTATTAATTGCCAGTATGGCCCTAACTATTCTTGAACTGCAGTCCAAAACTACAGCAAAAGATTTTTCAACACAGTAGAGTCTGTCAATTATTCATGACTACCAGAAAGGCACAGGAAATTAAGGCAGGGATTAGTAAGAGAAACAAATACTAATGAAACCAGTTCTTAGAATATTATAATATAAAACAGCCTGTGTTTCCACATAGTATTATAATTCGAACACAGCGGGCACCGTGAATTATGCATGATTAAGTACGAGTTTTAAAGAAAGGCTTAGCTGTTTGATATAGATGTTAAATTGTTCCAGCACAGACATGTGGCCATATCTAGAAATTTTCATCTCACATTGGACCCTGATTGAAACATTTGGGCTGTTTTCCTTTTCCATGCATGATTCTTATAGGTCAGATTGAAAATAAAGAAATCCCATTCACCCTTCAGAGTGACCAAAACATTTTTCTATCAAATTGGTGATGCTAAGCAATAGTAGTGTGCAGGATTTTCTTCTTTGCAATGTGACATTTTGAAGTCCTATGTTCCTACTTCATGAGATAGTTGGATGTGGAATATCTCTGTTAAAACTATTGTTATAGGTAAAATAGTTACAGAAACGGCAGCTCATACAGAAAAATGTACTAAAGGGTTGTAATTTGTTGGCTGGATTAACTTTCTGTAAAGAATAAGAATACAAAATGGAAATGTTAGTTTAATACCCACAGTATCCATAGCAAGGAAAAATCCTATGACTATTAGTTCCTCATAATTATGGAGTGCTATGACTCCAAAGGCATATGGTATTCTCAGGATAATGATTGTTAATTAGTGCAGTGGAAATGTCAATTGAGAAAAGACCAAATCATGAAATTACCGTTACCATTTAAATTACCATCTATTTTGAAATGCATTGCCTACACCAGCCTACTGTATTATGCTTGACAGATACTGTGGAATTGTTTCACTAATATGTCAGATAACAGGACCAATAAGATGTTTTTTCTTTGGAGTAAACTGTCAAATTTTCCCTGGGCGACAGATCTTCACCCTGTCTTTGAAGATGCTGAATTACAATAAATCTATAGATATAATTTACCATGTAGAGTGAACACAATTAGAAATAAATGACTTGCTGGATATTAAGAGAAATGGTTAAATGATATCTCGTTAAAAGCAACATTTAAGACATTTGTTCAAATTAAGCACAATTATGTTACTGAATCCCATGTTAAAGCAAACTTATCAAGAAGTCAGAGATCTTTGGTTGCTAAGCGGAGAACAGGAATCCTTTCTCTCGCTCTTGAAGTCGGCAGATTCAAAAACATCCCAAAGGAACACAGACTGTGTGAACTATGTGATTAGAAGAAGTTGAGAAGGAATCTTGTTTTCTTTTGTAATGTCTTTTTTATGTCCTTTGATTAATGAAATGTAAGCTCAAAATCCTTCAATGTTTTGGAGTTCTGATGATAACAGGGTGGAGATGTTATTTAATTTCATGTTCATGAGCTGGCCACGATTGTCTCTGAAGCCTGGAAGAAATGTCAGGATGGTTTGTTTCGTTATAACTATTAAGTGTCACCTTTTGGTCAGTAGTCTGTAGTTTGTTTTGGGCTGGGCCAATTTTTTGATGATAATGAAATTAAATCATCAATCATCCTCTTCGTATTCAAATAAAAAGATATTTGAATGTTAATGTTTTGTTGTTTGTCAGATGTTCTCAGAATAACAATGAACAGGAATATTTTAATTGATGTGTAAAGGACACAGGGTGTGACCCATGTCTACAAACAGAATGGATCATAGACTGCATAAAAAAATGTAGTGGAGTCACTGTGACATGCATGGGAAGGAGGTTTCTCTCTCTACAAACTACGCCATCTGCTGTTGTATTACAGCAAACGTGCTGAACAAAGTTAAATACTTTGCATTATGTATCTCTTTGTCAAACCTTTGTGGTCAGTTCCTTCAAGGCTCTCACTAAACTACTGAACACGCAACGCTAAAGTTTAGGGGTGTAAGCACATAAAATAAGGTTAGTTGGAAGAGAATGTTTAAAACATTATTTTAAAACCTAGGTGTGAAAACAAGACCTATGAGGATTATATCTTAAATACTGAATATCAATAATACAAGCCAAGTTTCTTCAAACATTTTACACTAAAAAAGTCTATACTAATAATACAAAGTAAAGTTTCTATATTTCAAACAAAAAGAAAAACAAGTTTCACTAGTTTCTGGTCAATAATTGGTCTACTGTAAGCTTTGTCTCTGTCTCTAAAGCTACCCACACTTTAAAGCTTTTACTTTAAGGCCAATTAATAATCAAACACAGCAGAAAGAGACAGAGAGTACCTTTAACTCCAAAGCACTTGTGTTACTGTATAATGTTTGGCCACATGTTAATTTAAAATGTTTTGTCTGACAATTCTTGAAAGCTTCTGCATTACGTCCAAAAGTATTAAATGTGTCAAACAAGAAGGGTTTTCCTGTCCTTGATGGTTGAAATAAGGAGAATAGGGAGAGAAGATCCTGCTTCAGATAATGATCTAAAACTGTGTACCAATCTGATTTAAGCCTCTTCTCGCAGTGATTTAAGATAGATGCTTGACTTGTAATTGTAGGTTGTTGGAACATTTTGAACACTTCAGTCATATACTTAAATAAGACACTCAGGTAACACTTTACAATAACCTTACTTAAAAAAATGTATTTGTAATGCTATAATTTATATTATGTTAACAGTTTATTGTTTCACACATTACCACAATTTATACACTTTATAAAGTGTTTGTTAATAATTACCCAAGGATTTGTAAACCGTCTTTTAACATTATTTGGATGGCTATTATAAAGTTGGAACTCAAGATTATAATAACACCTTATTAATACTTTGTAAAGCATCTACAAACTTGTATTAGACAGATAATTAATACTTCATCAATGGTTTATAGTTGGTTTGTAAACCATCTACAATCATTATCTGGATGGTTATTGTAAAGTTGGAACTGATGTTCTTAGAATCGTTTTTTTATTGCCAAGTACATTTACACATACAAAGAATTTTTCTCTGTATTTTTGTGCAAAAACAGTTAACAAAGGAAATAAAGCAAAAATAGCAAGAACTTAAATAACACAAAAAAGGAGTAATTACAAATCTATACTAGAGTATATAAAAACACAAAATGTACAAAAAGTGCAGAATTAAAAGTCTAGTGAACTTCTCCACAAATGATCAATCAACTCAACAATACTCCATTAATTAACCAAATGCTTCAATTAGTCAGTCTGTTGCCAAGATTTCCTCCTAAATAATTGCAATGTGATATATACGAAGAAATACTGTAAGCCTATATGTGAAAACAAACTAAACATATATCAAAAATGTTGACTATAAATAAATGTATTCACATATAGAGAAATGCAGGTGTTTGTTGAAAGAGTTTGTGGATAAAACCACACTGGCCTTGATCAAGCTGGATTCAGGATCCCTACGCGCCGTTATCTGCAAGCTCCCAATGTTTGTGAAGTAATGCCAGGTATCTCCTCATCTGCCCTTTGGACTGATCCAGTTCAGACACATTCCATCTCCTCCAGTTCTCGCACAACATAGTAAAAACAGAGAAGACAAAAGGGAAACAAAACAAAAGTTTAGTGTCTTAGAGTCACTCTGAATTCGTATACACAATGCAATAACAATTCAGTGAAATATGAACACATTATCTGTTTTTTTGTTTTTTCTTCTATCTGTGGCAAAAGCTGTCTCCCTGCCGGGGGTGTGTTTTCCGGGAGGAGGAGGGGCTCGCTTTCTCTCCCCACTCCTCATCAAGAGGAGTAATCTAATTGGCTCTCTATTTGAGGCAATGCCCCTTGGACCGCCTCCTAAATTTCTCAAGGGCTTCCAGCCTAACCTGGCTGTCAAAGAGTTAACATCGTCTCCAAACCCAGTGCAGTTAATGCCGAGAGTCTACAGACACACAAAAATCACCACAGTATTTTCCCAATCAACAGCCAAATACAAAAAGTATCCTATGATAGTAAAAACTTCTCCACCTATTTTAAACAAGACTATACGTTCTTTTGAACAGACAAAATTCGCAGCATAATGTGGTAACACACAAACAGACAGAAAGAGAAGAAGAAAATTCACACTCCAATCAGCCGGCAGTTTGAACTTTATCAGGAATTTTTCTGTTCTTTTCTCTAATCTTGCGACCTGAATGTGTACAGACTGTCCTTGCTGGTCCACTTCTGTTAAAAAAACAGATACTATATATACTTATGTATAAACGTCCTTTATTAGGCTCATATGTATTTATCAGATTAAACAAACATCCTCTGAAGGGCTCATATTTTTATCAAAACGAATATATAAACGTCCCCTGAAACAAAGGCTCATGGGTTTTTTTTTAACACTGATGAAGCAAAAATTTCCCCTCTTATGAGTTACTAAAATCGTCTTTATCCAATCTCCTGCTATATATGCCTATTTAATAATACATCTATTCTATTTATCAATTCCACACATACAAGAACATTTCCGGATCACTTACACACATAGCTTCACAGATCTCTCAAAAACATCCACAAGACCCACAAGACACAAGCTGTCTTGCAACACACACATTCCAAGAACGCACACACATAGCCTGCTCCAAGGCTTCAAAAATTCCTCAGCCTCGCACACACAGACAAGCTGTACAGCGACACACATACACACAAGCTTCAACTGCGATTCACCTTAAATCTTAAAGTTGACTCATTTATAATTCTTCTAATAATCCTTCTAACTTTCTTACTTTGGCCAAAATTTTAACAAATTGTCTTTAACCAATTACTTCACACTGCATGCTTCAATGCACACATTTTTTCCTTTATTCAGCACTTTAATTTTTCCTCTTTTCTCAAAACTTTATTCCATTTTTATTTCATCTCTATTTTTTCATCTTCATTTTTCATCTTTTACTTCTCTTCTTTATTTGTCATCTTTATTTCCTCTCTGTATTTCCTACATTATACGTTTAATTCCAATTTCCCTGGCCAGGGATCCCCTTTGTTTTTTTGTTTTTTTTACTCAATTTGACTACTTCTTAAAGCCAACTTTCACTTCAGTGTCTAATTTACACATGACTTACTGTTAAGAGGATACGGGCCCTGTCCTTGTTAAACTTGCATAGTTTTTTAGCTAACTGGTCTCGTTACTCGTTGCGCTTATTAACATTAACTTACTTTCAACTTTATTCTCTTTTCTGTTATTTTATTTTTATCCCCTTCAGTCCCATTCTTTAGAGTTCATGGACTGAGCTGTGAGGCTCAGGGAGCTTTTGAATGTCACAGTTTTCAATAAGATTGAATTGAAATACGACAAGCTCTTCGTAGTTCTTTTTGGAAATTATTTCATTGATGCCATGGAATTTATGAAAAAGATCTTTTAAGGTCTTTTAAAAAGTGAATGTTCATTTTCTAAATTCAATTCCCTCTTTTTGTTATTGCAGGAAAGCGCGCTTATTCCTCACAAAAGCTAAGGGATTAACTGGGCAAAAGGTTGCTTCTATACAGAGACAGGTGGTGTTTTGGGGTTCCCCTTACATAGTTAAATTAAACTATAGTTTAACATATTTACATTACATATTTGTAATGTTCATATATCCATTTTATGAAATTATGAGGTATAACAACAACTTAAAGGGCTTAAAATAAAATACTTATGAGGTTACAGACTGCTGTTTGGGATGGTGTTGTACTGGACAGTTACATTGAAAGGGGTTTTCTAAATGATTTGCTACTATGAGAAACATAATAACTGGACTGAAAAATAAAAACATTCAATGTTTTACAGTCCATTACAAAAACGAAGCACAGTCTCAGAATACAGAGGGGGGGATGTCCGGGTGGTCTAGGATTTGCAGATACTGACCATTTAATCACAATATTACAAGAATGAGACCAGACACAGACCTTTGTTAGAGGAAAAGGACCACAGAATGATTGCAACACTATTGTATCATCTTCAGCGAGTGGTTTAACCTTCTTGGTCATTCTTAGCAGATATCAAAGAATAAACTTGTAGCTCACGATCTGATAAGGTTTCATTGATAAAAAAAAAGCTAATCACACAGTTTGAGTGATCTGGTTGGTTTTCTATTGGATATTAATACTGATGACTGAAGGGTTCTTTTTCTCCCCTAGAAGACAAAAGCTCCTTAAAAAGTGATACTTGAAAATTGAAAGGGCTTGGAATCTCAGGTGATTTCACCCGGCTTCCATGTTGCTTAACAATTAGACAAGAACACTTTAGATAATGCAATATTGCATTATTTATCCCCACCCCCTCTGTTTTTCCACACCTTGTGAGCTGCCTACCTGTATTAAAACTCCACAGCCATCAGTCATCCGTCAGTCACAGTTGAAGAACAGTACATGCTTCTTTCAACATTATTTCTGTGAGTATTCCTTTAACTTTGCATTTATAAAACTAAATATTCTGTTTTAAAAAGTTAGTTAAAGATAAATTTCAACAACTGCTTCGTCTCGCCAACTAGCTCACAAGCTTAACTGGACACATTTTAGCCAGAGAGAGTACAAAAAGGCGGCATTTCACTGGCTTTCTCTTCTAATTTGGATTTAGCTAATATAATATTTGATTAAATATTGTTAGGATTTGAAGCATTAAAGTTGTGTTTTAAGTCAGGCAAAGGCAATTCATGTGCCAACTTTGTACCATTTAAGTCAAATCAGACCTGACCTGATTTTCAATGGGATAAAAAAACATAAAAGTAAGCTTATATCAAAGCAAATGCTTCACTAGCAACACAGATATGTAACTAGCAATGAAGTTAATTAAAAGATAAGAGAAGAAGTTGGCTGAAAATTCTTGCCTAACAAGTTTGTCTTCTGTGTCTTCCAGCTCAAACCTGTATTTACGGATCAGGTGTTGGAACAATACCTTGGGTGGCTACTGGGCATCATTCCCTTTCCACTCCCTAAATGTTTCCATTGAACAGGTGCTTAGTTTTGATTATTCTACTGGCTTTTGTCACCAAATGTTGCGACTAAGTAAAAGTTTAACCTACCTGTAAAATGATCTGCACTAGTAAGATTGCCTTTTATTTGTTGTGTTTTTATTTTCATGCTTGAGGTTATTTAGACCACATTTATTTTGTGGAAACACACATTCATCTCTAATTATAAATTCTACATTTATTTAAATGAATATATTTTTTCAACTGCATATTCATTCTTTTTTTCTATTTCAATTTATTCAAATAGCAACAAAATGTGGAAGCTAACTCTATCTGCAGGTAAGACATCCTGGTCAAGTATAAGTGTCTTTGAATGTTTGATTAAACTACATCTCCAAAAGTGTTAAGTGTACATGTGTATTGTCTCATGCAGGTAGTTTCTGTTAGGTAACCCCAAGTTATTTTCACTGAGAGGAATTTGTATTCATTTTACCTCCAATGTACTGACAAATATCAGAAATGTCAGAAAGCTTGAATTAATTAACTTGAAACAGTAAACTAGAACTTTTACCTGTAATGCATGAATTATTATGTCAGAAAGCCTGTTTGTATTGGTTGTTTTTTTATTTTATTAAACTGTATACGAACACATGTGTTCTTTTGAAGGTCTCTGTTTGATCCTTGCCAGCTTGGGTAAGTTCATCACACAAATTGATCACAATCATCACCTTTATAGCTGCATAGGACGATTTTTGTAGAAGAAATATAATATCCTTAAGTAAACAGATGTATGTAAGTAAGGACATTGAAATATTTGATCTATACAATAAATAATTAAAATAATCATGATTTTTCTTTCATGTCTATAGCTTCTACCTCCAGGCTGATGTGTTACTATAACAGCAAAGCAGCAGACAGACCAGCTATGGGGAAGTTCAGAGTTTCAGATATTGATCCAGACAAGTGCACCCATCTGATTTTTGGCTTTTCTGACATAATTGAAAATGAGCTGGTTCCCACAACTGTAAATGATGTTCAGCAGTACTTTGGGTTTAATGCACTCAAACAAAGGTCAGTCCTTAAATCTATAAATACTGTGGAGATTATATTGTAATACAAGAATGAATTATGAAAATGCAAAAAAAAATCATCATTTAAATGTTATGCTCCTGTAGAAATCCACTTCTGAAAACCCTGTTGGCTGTTGGTGGAGAGAAGTTTGGGACAGAAAAGTAAGTTACCTTCAAGGACATTAAGGCTTGTTTGGAAGGACACATATTACTAACAAACTGTTGTAATCCTCTGACGTCCAAATTGGCCTTGCCTTTTGTTGTAGTTTCAGCACTTTGTGCAAAAACAAGCAAATTCAAATTCGTTTTTAAGAGTTGGGAACTCTTGTTTTTTGCTTTAAATTCATTAAAATTGAATGCAACCCAGCTGACCCTACAGCCAAATAATGAAAAAACGAAGTTTGTAATTCACTGAATCTTGTGCAATATGTATTTCAGACACTCAGGTCAGTGACTGCACATTATAATTATGGGGATTATTTTGCCACTTTTTTGGCAGCATTTATTATATATAGGCTATGGAAAGCATGGTTGATAATACATTGGATCCACACTAAATATTGGTTTACACCTTATCTCATGTTTTGATTGCCTTGTTCTGTTTGAGCAGAGACCTTCATTGAATAGCTGGAGCGTGAGTCTAAAGACCAAGTTGTGTTTATATTTTTATTTTTGTATACTTACCAGATTCAGGACAATGGCGGGATCACAAAGAACAGAGAAGTGTTCATCCAGTCTGTAATCAGACTACTCAGAGCATTCAATTTTGATGGGCTAGACGTAGACTGGAGGTACCCAGCTGAAGAGGACAAGCAGAGATTCACAGAGCTTTGCAAGGTCAGATCCTTAATATCTCCTCTGGAACCGGCATTTTCAGAAAAAAGCCATACTGCAAATGCCATGCATGAAATTATAAGTCATTTAACTGAGACTGAGAACCATGCTTCTGTGTTGTATAGGAGCTGGAAACAGCCTTTGTCGATGAAGGAACTTCAAGTAACCAGGAAAGATTAATCCTTGCAGCATCTGTCTCTGCTGAGAGGTCAACCATCGATGCTGGCTATGAAGTGGAAGAAATTGCCATGTAAAATAATTTTTAAGAAATCTCTGCCATAATAACAATAAAAAGCTTCTGTTCTGTTTTAGTAAAGGTGATTTCCTCTTAATTTATCAGGCACCTGGATTTCATCAACGTGTTGACGTTTGACTTCCACGGCCCCTGGGAAAGTGTCACAGCACATCACAGCCCCTTATTCCAGGGATCCCAAGACACTGGAGATGCGATCTACTCTAACACTGTAAGCAAGGGCTTATTTTTTCAAACAGCTTTATATTCAAACATGTACCTGTATCCCATTTGTTTTGATCATTGGTCTTCCCTTCTTAGGCCTCTGCCTTAGAGTACTGGCGGGACCAGGGAGCACCTGAAGAAAAACTGAACATGGGGCTTGGAGCTTTTGGACGAGCTTTTTCCCTGTCCTCTAATTCAAGCGCTGTCGGTGCACCAGCCAGTGGTCCTGGTGAGGAAGGCTGCTACACCGGTGAAGAAGGATTCTGGGCCTCTTATGAGGTATTACTGCACGGTTTCAATATTACCCATTTATATTGATGGCTTTATTATTAGCCAACAGTTTTGGCTGTATTTTGTCTGACAGATATATATCCTTGTAATTATAATTACTTTTATTAGATCTAAATACCAAATCTGACCCTTCTTTTCAGACTTGCCTTTATCTAGATGGGGTACAAAACCATTTTATTTCTGATCAGAAAGTTCCATATGCCACAACAGAAAATCAGTGGGTTGGATTTGACGACACAACCAGTATAAATACCAAGGTAATCATCTGTCTTTAACACAGTATTACTTTTTAGTGGCTGCAAATGACTGATGTGATTGATGTACAAAATTCTGTTAAATTGATTTTTTATACAGACTGTTGAAATGTTGTCTTTCTCATCCTCTCAGATCAATTACCTCAAAGCAAACAAATTCGGAGGGGCCTTTGTCTGGTCTCTGGACCTGGATGACTTCAGAGGAGAGTTCTGTAACCAGGGAAGTGCCCATTCGTTACCCAACTGCATAATCTGCTTGTACCAGGTAAATCAATAATCAAAATATGTGCTTTTTTATGAGGTAAAGGTTTCACAATTTATTTAATTAAATACCATTAGCAATGAAAATTCTAATACCACTGTTTTATACTTCTATAACTTTAATATCTAGAACACATCTAGTTCAGATTCAAGGAATCTCAAAAGTCATGCTCTGTCATATCACAATATGATGATCAAGCAAGGGTTAAGATCAATAAAACAATATTGACTGTCTTTCTTTCAGGTTTCCCTGAATCACCTACCACATCTCCCCCTACAACAACCACAGCTGCCCCTACTGCAACCACAGCTGCCCCTACTGCAACCACAGCTGCCCCTACTGCAACCACAGCTGCCCCTACTGCAATCACAGCTGCCCCTACTGCAACCACAGCT